AGCTGCCATTAGAAATGCAAATGTTGGCTCCGGCTTCTCCCCTTGCCTCACAGCTCCGGATCCGGGCGCCACGTCCAGCCCAAACCCCCCCGAGCCCCCAGGGCTGCTCCCCGCTGCTCTGCAGCCCCTCGGGGGGCTCACACCCTCCAGGGAGGCACAGCCCCCCCATCCTCCTCCTCCTCCTCTGGGACCCTTCATCCACCTGGACCCAGCCCAGGGACCCCTCGGAGTGGCACTGGGAGAGCTCGGGGGTCCTTGTGCGGGCCGGGGACCCCCCAGCCGCGCTCCTCTGGGGGCGAGGGGGGAATCCGGAGCTTCTGGGGGGCAGGAGGAGCCCCTGGGGATGCTCCAGCTGGGAGCACGACCCGCCAAACCCCCTCGCTGGCTGATGTATCAAACGGTAATTAGGAGCAAAGGGCACAGGGGTGCAGGGGAGCATTAATAAATTATCTGCCTGCTTGTTAATTGACGCGTCTCAGTCAGCCCGTGGTGGAGCCCAGGGCTTGGCTCCCCTTCCAGGCGCATCACAGCCTTGTTACTGCCCTCATTAGCATATTCAGGTCTCCCTGCTTAAAGCCAATTAGCTCCCGGCCAGGCCTGATTGGGGAGCCGCGGCCTCATTTGCACATTTTTGAATTGGTGAAAGAATCAGAAATAATGGAGGCAGCTCGGGGGTGGGGAGCGCTGGGGTGGCTCTGCCAGGACCTGCCGGGCAAGGCGAGGGGGAGCAGCTCGGTAATTAGGCTAAAAAGGAACGGGGGCTAATTTGGTCCCGGGCGTCTTGGGGAGCTCATCCCTTCCCCGTTCATCCCTCCCAGTTCATCCCTCTCATCTAAGCTTTTCTAGTTCATCCCTCCCTGTTCTTCCCTCTGGCTCATCCCTTCCCAGTCCACCCCTTCCCAGCTCACCCCTTCCCAATCCATCCCTTCCCAGTTAATTTTTCCCAGTCCATCCCTTCCCAGTTCATTTTTCCAATTAATCCCTTCCCAGTTCATCCTTTCCTAGCTCATCCCTCCCGGTTCACCCCTTCCCAGTTCATTTTCCCAGTCCATCCCTTTCCCAGTTCATTTTTCCCAGCCCTTCTCTCCCAGTCCATCCCTCCGTGCCCTGCCCTGGTTCCTGCGGGAAGGAGAGATGCTGGAGAGCCCCGGGCTGGGCTCTCACCTCCCTTTTTGGGAAGAAGGAGAGGTGCTGGAGAGCCCCGGGATGGGCTCAGCCCGGCTGCCCCCGTTTTTGGGGAGCAGGGCCCTGCCTTATCCCTCCAGCAGGGATTTGGGGCTGAAATTCCCGTCCCTGCCGCCTCGCACCCTTTCCCTGCCATTGGAGCTGCCCGGAGGGAAGGGTCTCTCTCCCCGGAGGGCAGGGTCTCTCTCTCTCTCTCCCCCGAGGGCAGGGTCCCTCTCTCCCCGGAGGGCAGGGGCTCTCTCTCGGCTCCAGCCCGGTTCCCGTGTGACACCGGAGCTGCTGGGGCACAAAGGCAGCCTTGTCCCGGCGCGATGAACCCGAGCACGGCTCACGCGGAGATCCGGCCGGTCCGGCGGCACCGATCCGTGCCGAGCCGCTCCCGGCTCCGAGCTGCTTCACGTTTACACAAAAACGGTTCTGTCCCCTCCGCCAGCCCCGAGCCCCGGCCTGCTGCCTGTCACCCTGCCCGCGGGCTGTCCCCTGGAGCTGGGAGTGTCCCCTGGAGTCCAGGACTGTCCCCTGCCCGGCCTGGTGCTGGCAGAGCTGTCACCGCTGAGCTGCACTGGGTTTGTCCCCAGCGTCCCCAGCCCCATCCCGGTGCCTGGAGGAGTCACTTTGCCCTGCAGGAAGCTCCCAGCCGTGTCCCCCTCTGGCAGAACCCCTGTCCTTCACTCCTTTCGGCCGGGCTTTTTGGGCAGGGCTCATTTTTTAAAAATAGTGATGGAGAGGGGATTTTTTCCTCCCCTTTTTTCTCATTTTGGTGATAACATAGAACGTGCAACCTTGACCCCACATCACCCATCCCCCTGACCCTGTGTCACCCATTTCCCTGACCCCACAGCACCCTGACCCCATGTCACCCACCGTTTCCACCTGTGGCTGACCTGGGGTTTTGGGCTCTCCCAGCTCAGGCTGGAGCTGTATCCCTGTGGAAGTTTCTGCCTGGCATTTCCAGGGGATGAGCAGCAGGCAGAGCCTGTGCTGCCCGCCCGCTTTGGGCTGGGATGGAGTTAATTTCCTCCGGAGCTGCCCTGGGTGATAACTCAGGGATGCTCTGGGCTGGAGACTTATTTATCTCCTGGGAGTGCATCCCCTGATCTCTCGGCTCGGTGCTGGGAGGAGTTCTGCTCCAAAAATCATCAGGAATCGTGAAGCAATTAACTCTGGGAAGTTATGTTGGCCCAGTTTTCAAAGTCTGCTCTGATTCCCTGCCTGCTGTGGCTGTTAATCACTACTTAATGCAGCTTTCTGCATTTTTATCATCATTTTATCTGCTGTAATTTATTGTGTGTTGCCTTAACCGAGGAAGCATTTTCATGTGTTGAATGTCTCCGTGTAGGCAACCCCTGCTCCGATGCCCCTCAAGTGCCAGTTTTATTAATTAAAAACAAACATTTATCAGCTTAATGGAGAGGCAGAAGGGTTTTATCCCTGCTCTGGGCACACAGTCTCCTCTGGAAATCCCAATTCCTCCCCAGTGCCGTGTCCTGTACCTGCAGGCACCGCTTGGCATTCCCACGGTGCTCTCATAGGGTCAGGAAGAATTAACTGCAAATTTAATTAACGTTCCTAATGTCTGGGCTGAAGCGGAGCCCAGCAAAGCCAGCTCTGCCCTTTGCCGGTTGGAGCCAGAGCTGGAGGGAGCTGGGCGTTATCAATAATTAACCCGGCTAATTTAGGGGAAGTATTAGGGCCTTAATGAAGATGTGAAATGTTGAATTGTGCCGGGAGCGCTGGGGCTGCTGAGGAAGAGGAGGTTGCACAATTAATTGCTGTTCCCGAGGGGATCCCGGGGCAGGTCAGGGACTGCAGGTCCCCACACCCATCACAGCCACGGGAGCCGCCGGGACACCGCCCAACCCATTAAAACTTCATCAAAACTTCTGTTAATTACCTTGTAATTAAGCTGTGGATGGCCCTGGGGGCTCAGCCTGGCCGCGATGTCCCCGTGCAGGACAGGGAGGGATACGAGGGGTATTCAGGGCCGGGCTGTGGTTCAGCGCGGCCTCTTTGGGTCCCATCCCCAGGGTTTGCTGGGGCAAAAACCAATTTATTGTCCACTGAGGAGCGGGGCTGGGCCCGGCCCTCAGGCCAGGAGGATGAGGATGAGGATGAGGATGGAGCCGTTCAGAAATCCCAGGAACACACGGCAGGGATGCCTCAGAAGGTGCCAGGAAAAGCTGGTGAAGCAGCCTGGAAAGCTCTGCAGCATTTCCTGCATGGAATTAAAGTTCAGGACGCTTGGCTGGCCGGGAAGCCCCACAGGAGGGGGGTGAGCTGCGGTGTGTCCCCAGTGAATTCCCATCCCGGGGGTTTTCCTGGGCTCTGGAGCAGGACAGGGATGGGTCTAATCCCTCTTTGGGAAGGTGATTCCCAGCAGGAGCTCTGTCAGGCAGCTCTGGGAAGTGCAGTTATTTGGGGAAGAAGTTTTATTAATTAAAAACAAAGCATTTATCAGTTTAGTAGAGAAGCAAAGGGGTTTTATCCCTGCTCCTGGGCACACAGACTCCTCTGGAAATCCCGATTCCTCCCAAGGCTCCCCAGTGCCGTGTCCTGTACCTGCAGGCGCTGCTTGGCATTCCCACGGTGCCCTGGGATCCACGGATCCTGAAGGGCATCCACTGGTGCCAAACAGGGGGTTGTGCTGCCAGGTGAGGGCACCACGGACAGGAACTGCCTCTAAAAGCGCTGGCGCTCTGCAAAAAATTAAAATAAAAGTGTGGGGAAAAGCCACAAATGGCTTCTGCTCTCGTCTGGGGGAGGGAGCTGTGGGGTGGCGCTCGCAAATGCTTTTAATAAAGTGTTCTTTCCTGAGTCCAGGGGAAAAATCCCGGAAACCTCAAGCTTTTCCCATGACATCAGGAGCAGATGCTGCTGGGCACAGCCCTGTCCCCGTCCCCAGCTCCCTGCCAGGCACAGCCCCGAGCAGCGGGATGCAATTCCCGGAGAATCTCCGGCTGTCCCTGGCAGGACGGGGCTGGGGGCACCCGGGGACAGCGGCAGGTGTCCCTGCCCTGGCAGGGTGGCACTGGGTGGGCTCTGAGGTCCCTTCCCAAACATCCCAGGATGGTGTGGAAGAGGAGTGTGAGGGCAGCGGGCAGGTGCCGGTGCTGGTGGCAGCGAGGACCCGTTCTGTCACACGGCTGGGTAATTTCTGCGGCAATTAATGCCTCATTAAAGTGCACGAGGGAACAATCAGAGCAGTGAATCTTACCCAGCACAATGGCTGGGCCCTCAGGGTTTTTCTGCCTTTCTTTTGAAAAGGAAACAGTCTTTTTCTGGCTTTAACTGCTCCCTGTCTGGAGGCAGAGCAGGAGGGAGCCTTGGTGGGCATCTCCATTCCCGGCTGGTGCTTGGGGAGCACCCCCGTGATGGGATTTTCCAGGATTTTCCTCTTCGATCCCTCGGGGAAAGCTGAAACCTCCAGGACATGAAATCTGACTGAGGCAGGGATGAGCACCAGCCCCGTCCCGAAATGTTTGTGCTGAGGTGTCCCTCACCCACCGCAGCTGCAGGAGGCATTTCCAGGGCGGGGAGGGAATCCCAAGGGGTGACAGGGAGCTCCTTCCTGGGGACACACCGCGGAGGGGACGAAGGGAATGCTGAGATGGGCAGAGAGGCTGGACTTGGGGGACTCCTAGGAAGGGTTTTGAGGATGAGGAGGTGACCAGGGCGGTGTGACAAGAGGGAAAGGGGAGATGTGGCTGTGGCTGGGAAGCCCCTGAACATTTCTGGCCGGGTTTTGGGGCTCGTTCCCACCCGTTGTGACATCAGGCGGGAGCAGCTGAGCCCTGACCGTGTCCCTCTGTCCTCAGGAGCCTGATGCCACGCACCCTGGAGGGCCAGATCACCATGGAGAAGACCCCCAGCTACTTTGTCACCAAGGAGGCGCCGCGGCGCATCCACAACATGTCCCGGGACACCAAGCTGATCGTGGTGGTGCGCAACCCCGTCACCCGCGCCATCTCGGACTACACGCAGACCCTCTCCAAAAACCCCTCCATCCCCAGCTTCCAGGCCCTGGCCTTCAAAAACCTCAGCACGGGACTGATCGACACGAGCTGGAGCGCGGTGCGGATCGGGATCTACGCCAAGCACCTGGAGAACTGGCTGCAGTACTTCCCGCTCTCCAAGTTCCTCTTCGTCAGCGGCGAGAGGCTGGTCAGCGACCCCGCCGGGGAGATGGGCCGTGTCCAGGACTTCCTGGGGCTGCACAGGGTGGTGACGGACAGACATTTCTACTTTAACGAGACCAAGGGCTTTCCCTGCCTGAAGAAGCCCGAGGGGGGGAGCAAGCCCCGCTGCCTGGGGAAATCCAAGGGGCGGCCGCACCCCCGAATCGACGGGCTCGTGGTGCAGCGCCTGCGCGAGTTCTACAGACCCTTCAACATGAAGTTCTACCAGATGACAGGGCAGGATTTTGGGTGGGACTGAGCCCGTCCCCAGGGCACGCTGCTGGGTTGGCACCTGGGATGCCAGGACTGCGGCCCAGGGATGTCCGTGGTCACTGTGGTCAAGGGATACTCATGGTCATGGCCCAGGGCTGCCTTTAGTCATCATGACCCAGGGATGTCTGTGGTCACTGTGGTCAAGGGATGCCTGTGGTCATCATGGTGCAGGGATGTCCATGGTCATCATGATCCAGGGATGCCCATGGTCACTGTGGCCCAGGGATGTCCATGGTCATCATTGTCCAGGGATGCCTGTGGTCATCATGATCCAGAGATGTCTATGGCCATCATTGTCCAGGGATGTCCATGGTCATTGTGGTCAGGGAATGCCCATGGTCATCATGATCCAGAGATGTCTATGGCCATCATTGTCCAGGGATGTCCATGGTCACTGTGGCCCAGGGATGCTCATGGCCATCATTGTCCAGGGATGTCCGTGGTCACTGTGGCCCAGGGATGCCCGTGGCCATCATTGTCCAGGGATGTCCATGGTCACTGTGGCCCAGGGATGCCCGTGGCCACCCCACCAGCACCCTCCTCCCTTTGTTCTAATTTATATCGGACCTTTTCTGGCAAGAAACGGACTTTTCTTGGAGTAGAGAGAAATATTTAATAAAAGCTCAGCTGAGCCCTGTCCCCTCCCTGAGCAGATTAAATATTCTTCCATATAAACCTTGCTGATCTCCGTTGACTGGGGGCGGTCTGGGTGGGAGTTTGGGTGTGTGTGCACGGGGTCGTGGATCCACCCTCCAGAGTGAAACCTTTGGAAACCTCTGGGCCACACAGCCAGAGGGCCCTGGGGGTGACACAGTCCCTGGTGGCCAGGGGGAGGCTGGGCAGCAACCCCCAACCCTGGGAGATGTTTTGGAGATGGAAAAAAGTCTGCAGGAATTTCCCAGCTGAGCAAAACAGGGAACAGCAGCGGTTCTGAATAAATGCCAGGGCCTGGCTTAGGGAGAGGCAGCTGTGGATCACCTTCCATGTTCCTTGAGTGGCCCAGCTGGTAGGGCAGGGCTTTTCTAACCCTTAGCAGGAAAATTCCAGCTTCTCCACAATTTACCCAACTCTATTCAGTTCAATAATCTCAATAGTTTTTCAAATCTGCAGCCACTGAGGGTCATCACGGGAGGCTGCAGAAATTACTTTAATCTCTACTAACTAGTTTTCCCTTAATTAAAGATGGGGAAAACATTTAATTAACCTCTAAGATCTTATTAGTGACTTGTATTTGTCTCTTTAATGAGCTAATTATGAGTTTTGGAGGGCCCTCAGGCCCTGCATTGTTTGCAAATCTGCTTTGGCTGTGGTTCCCTCCATCATGCAGCATCCCAAACCCGCTGAGGTGCCTCCAGTCCTCCCTGCTGCTGCTGCTGCCTGGGCAAAGAGGGAAGCAGGTCCCACTCCTGGGATGCACAAAGGGCCTCATCCCTTCTCCTCCCAGCTCCGGGGTGGTTCCACACCCACGCCTGGTGTTTCACCCCACACAGCCCTCCCTGTCCCGGCTCCTGGCACCTCCCTGGTGTCCCTGGGGGTGAGGGTTGTCTGCTGTCCCGTGCTCTGGGCTGCAGATGAGGTTGGACATGCTCCTGCTCATTCCCAGGACAAGAGACACGTGCTTAAGGTGATGCTGGAGGGAAAAGCAAGCAGCTGCCAGGTTCTGTGTGGAGAGGCCGTGGAGGTGACAGGTGACAGTCCCCAGGGCTTTGTGGCCAGCACGAATCAGGACATTGCCAAGGCAGAGCGAGAGGAGATGAAGCCAGGACACTCCCAAAGCCTCGGGGTGATGCAGCTGTCCTGGGGTGGGCCCAGCACCCCTGCCCAGTGCGGGGTGCCCTGGCCATGTCCCCCCAAGCTGTGACCTCCGACTGTGACCCCAGCTGTGTCCCCCAGCCTGCGACCCCCAGCCATCAACCAGCAGAGGTGGGATGGGCTCAGCATCCCCTGTCCCCCCCGGCCATGTCCCCAGGTTCTGTCCCCCAGGCTGTATCCCCACCCTGTGACCCCTGGTGGTGTCCCCAGGCTCTGTCCCTTGGTTGTGAGCCCCGGCTGTGTCCCCACCCTGTGTCCCCCGGCTGTGTCCCCCGGCCTGTGTCCCCCAGCCTGCGACCCCCAGCCATCAACCAGCAGAGGTGGGATGGGCTCAGCATCCCCTGTCCCCCCCGGCCATGTCCCCAGGTTCTGTCCCCCAGGCTGTATCCCCACCCTGTGACCCCTGGTGGTGTCCCCAGGCTCTGTCCCTTGGCTATGAGCCCCGGCAGTGTCCCCAGCTGTGTCCCCATCCTGTGTCCCCCGGCCGTGTCCCCACCCTGTGACCCCACCCTGTGATCCCCAGCAGTGACCCCCAGCAATGTCCCCACCCTGTGTCCCCATCCTGTGACCCCAGGCTGTGTCCCCTGGCTGTGTCCTCACCCTGTGTCCCCTGGCCGTGTCCCCACGCAGTGTCCCCTGGCCGTGTCCCCACCCTGTGACCCCACCTGTGACCCCCAGCAGTGTCCCCACCCTGTGTCCCCAGCTGTGTCCCCACCCTGTGACCCCACCTGTGACCCCCAGCAGTGTCCCCACCCTGTGTCCCCACGCTGTGTCCCCCGGCCGTGTCCCCGCCGCGCTGGGATGTCGCAGCGGCTGGAGCCCCTTGTCAGCCTCGCTGGCAGCTCCGCATGATGGACTGCGCTCTGCTTGTTTAGGTTTTGTTTCCAGCGACGACATTCGACCAAATTATTCTCCGCGAAGGGCTTTAAAGTTTCCCAAGTGCCTGTGAAAGGCTGGAAGCGCTGATAGTGATCCTATTTCCCAGCTGAGTGACTGCATTCAGCCCCAGCCACATTGAGATGCAAAACGTTCAGGGTCCGGCTCTAAAGATGGTTTCTGTCTGCCCTGTGAAAGGGAACCTTACTTTTTTAAAGCCCGGCCCTTTCTAAAGCCGCACAATGCCATATAGACTATGCCATTTAAAGCATCTGAAGCGACCCAAAATGTATTGAAAGCTCGCTTTGCAGACTCATTAAGACTACTCAATGCGTTCTGGCAAATACCGTGCCAGGGCTGACCGCACGGATTAAGACTTTTGAAGTGTTACACAAACCCCCTGCTTAAACTAATTGCTGCCCCGCAGCTCACGAGGTCAAGTATTTGTATTCATTGCCTCCGAGAGGAGCCACTTCTGGCTCTGTCCAGGTGAAGTCTGCACTTCATTAGATCAAGACAATAAAAGCAGCTTTGGTAGGAAGGGGATGGAATCTCCCGGCTCCTGCTCTGAGCCAGGCACGGGCTGAAGTCCACCTCGGCGGAGTTTGTGGTGCTTGCAAGAGCTCCAGCGGAGCGATGTGCTTCCAAAAAATGTATTTCGTTGGGGATGGTGACAGCAGCCCTGTCCCACTTGTGCCGTCGTGGAGGGCTCGGCTTGAGCAGAGATTCCTTGGAATTCCGAGTGTTCACTGGAACACTTCATTCTCCGGGGTCATGGAATCCTGGTTTGGGTTGGAGGGACCCAAAATCCCACCCAGTGGGACACCTTCCATGTCCCAGGCTGCTCCCAGCCCTGTCCAGCCTGGCCTGGGACAGCTCCAGGGGCAGGCACAGCTCCTCCAGGAGGAATTGCTCTGAAACTCGCACAGAGGCTCAGTGACAGGGAGAGCTGTCACTGCTGGATCTCCCTGCTCAAAACCTCTGGGAATAAAGTTCTGACCAGAGAGAGGATGCTGAGCTGTGCTGGTGTTTTCTGGGACACAGGGAGTTTGGGCTGCTGCTTGCTCAGGGGATGATTCCTGTGCTCCTGGAGCTGGAAAAATGTCTCTGGAGCACCAGGTTAATTGGGGAAGTGCCAAAGCAAGAGGATGATGAAGATCCAGCTTTGCAGCCAAGTATGAAATGAAGTTTTCACCCCCATCTCAGGACAACCATTTCCACATTTCTAGACCCAGTTTTGTTTTGAAAATCCAGCTATCCAAAGTTTTGTGGTTCCTGTACTCTGGGCCTCCCTCTCCATTCCACTCCATAAGCCAGGAGGAGCAGGGCTGGAAGAGCTTTCCAAAATGTTTTATTTACTCCTTTTTCTGTTACACCAGATTTAGGAGGACAGAAGGAAAGGAACTAAAATAGGGAAGAAAGAAAGAAAGGAAAAAAAACCTCCAAAAAGCAAGAAGTTTAAACTTCCCTGCTTTTGCGTGGGTGCGGAGATGAGGAGAGCAGCAGGGCTGATTTTCAGTGCCACATTTCATCTTGAATGTTCATAACCTGTAAGAGGGAACCTCATGCTCTTCCCTGGAAATGCCCATCCATCCCCAGTCCCATTCCCTGCTGCCACAGCTGTCCCTCAGCACGTTCCCAGGTGAGGCTGCTGCTGCCAGGCCCCTGTGGGCTATAAAAGCTGGCAGGAGGCACTGCAGCCCCCCGCCAGGATTTCCCCAGCTCTGCAGGGTGCAGAGGCTGGCCCGGCCCAGGAGCACAACCTGGCACTGCCTGGTAAGTGGGGGCTGCTGCCAGGGCTGCTGGGCACCCTCCCTGCTGCTTTTGGGGCTGCAGCAGTGTGGTTGTGTGCAGCCATCGCCTGCAAATGCCAAATTTGTGCTCTGGTTTGGAAGAGCAAGGCGTTGCCTCGCTTAATGGATTTATATCACGGGAAAGAATAAATGGATGCCTTTCTGGCAGGATTCCCCGGCCCTGACTGTGAACCCTCATGGCTATGGGGTGGATGGGGCACTGCCACCACTGCTCCTTCCCCGGGGAATGGGCAGGAGTGGGGGGATGGCTGGAGCCTTTGGGGCTGGCTCGTGGTGATGCCACAGCTGGTGTTGGAGGAGAGACTGCAGCTGAAAGGGCTGATCCAGCCCCGTTTTTCCCAGTTTGTGTGGCTGGGAGTGCTGGTGCAGATCACTGAGCCAGTGATGGGAAGGATCAGGCTGGCACACCAGCTCTGTGCCAGCACTACCATCCAGGCTGCCTGCAAATCAACACTGAGGGAATTCCCCCCTTTTCTTTTTCCTTTTTCTCTGAGTTTAAACTTCCATCTGATGGCTGATTGCTGAAGACCCCCCCTGGCAGCTGCAGCACGCTGCTGGCAGATGCCAGAGGGAAGGAAAGTGTGAGGGATGGAGGGCAGCGGGAGAGAGGCCGGGAAACTGGGAAACACTCCTGGTGGGAATGGGAGAGGGGCCTGCGCAACAGCCAGCCTTTAATTAAGGGTCTTTAAAGAGCTTTCCCAGCTGGTTAACATTGCCTTGCCATATTGGA